AAGCTCTGAGTTATTTTTTCTTTACAAATGGTTAATTTGGCTGATTGAAACCTGTGATAGGATGCAAGATGCCTCTTTTCCCAGACTGCTTTTGCTGAAAATTTTAGGAAGCGTAGTGTTTTATAAACTTATGCAAACTTATGATTTTTAACATCTTTAAGTATCTTACTCATAGTTTAATGGTTCCTCATAGTCCAATGTTTCATTTTTGACAAGCCATTAAAATGTGCCAAACCTCAAAAATACTATCCTGTCCTGTTGTGTAGAGTATAGCATAACACAGGAAAAAAAAACTTATATAGGAAAAGTGTTAAGTTTAAGAATATTTTCTTGCTTCTTCATTTTTGTGTGAAGCTGAATCTCAATAATCCTTGTAGCTAAATACATCTGAGTTAAACATTTAAAATAGGTAGTACTCATGGGAAAACTGATTGGAGCTTAAAACTTGTGCAAATTGACAGCCTCTCTTCACTCCATTTTTCATCCTAAGGAAGTCTGCAAATATTTTTAAGTCACATCATTATTGCTCGTAAGTGGTTCTAATTAGGTAAACAGGAGTTTGTCTCAGTCATTGATCATCATCAGCTTCTTGATAGTGCCTGATTTCCCCCTGCCCCAGTATTCCAGTAGATTTTTTAAAATATATTGTAAATACATAATGGCTCATTTAATAAATTCAGTTGAAGTTTTTCTTAATATTTGTTACCCTTCTAAAAAGCAGGAGGTGATTGCTGTAATTCTTATAAAGTCTCATTTTAAGGTGCAACATCAGATCCAAATATGATACATAAGATCCAGTCGGTCATACTACTTTGGGTGTCTGTGGGGAACTGTCCTTTAATGAGCACTGGAAGCCATCCTGTGCCACCAGAAGCTGCTGATAATGTTCCATATGAGGTTTCAGTGTGTGTGTAAGTTGTGATAATTAAGATTTTACATTTATCTCTGAATGGTAACAGTTGAAACTGTGTTTGGAGGCATTACTACAGCCTCTGATATCTAGAGAGTCTGAAAAAAAAAAACAAAAAGCCAACCCTCTTGAATTTACTCTAAGCTTTTCCTCCTAATTATCACAGAGCTGTATTTATAAATTTTGTTCCTTGAAAGCTTTGTTTAAAGGACTATTTGACTGAGCATCAGATAAACAGGGAAAATACTGCATTTAATTAGAAATGCACTTTGAGCTGTTGACTACTATTTGCCTGTGTTACAAGCACATTTTTTGCTTTAACAAAGGTCTGTTTCTTCTTTCTAATCCCAGGCTTTATTCTTCCAGCTTCTTTTGTGCTGCCTGGTCGTAAAGTCATATGGCTCCATAAATTCCTGACTACCTGTAATACACCAGAATTAGCTGTGCATGCTGTTTTTCAGTTCTCCAGAGCAGTTTGTTCTTTTGCTTGGTCCTTGGCTGGCTTATTCATTTTCTTCCCGTTCTCTCTTTTAATACAAACAAATAAATAAAGCCAAAAAAAAAAACAAAACCCAAACACCATAACTATAGAATCATAGAATAGTTAGGGTTGGAAAGGACCTTAAGATCATCTAGTTCCAACCCCCCTGCCATGGGCAGGGACACCTCACATGCCGCCCAAGGTTTCGTCCAACCTGGCCTTGAACACCACCAGGGACAGAGCATTCACAATTTCCTTGGACAACCCATTCCAGTGCCTCACCACCCTAACAGGAAAGAACTTCTTCCTTATATCCAATCTAATCTTTCACTGTTTAAGTTTAAACCCGTTACTCCTTGTCTTATTATCACTACAGTCCCTCTCCAGCATCCTTGTAGGTCCCTTTCAGATACTGGGCGGCTGCTATGACGTTTCCATGCAGCCTTCTGTTCTCCAGACTGAACAGCCCCAGCTTTCTCAGCCTATCTTCATATGAGTGGTGCTCCAGCCCCCTTACCACCCTCATGGTATTCCTCTGGACTTGTTCCGTGTCCTTCTTATACTGAGGACCCCAGTACCGTATACAGTACTCCAAGTGGTAGAGTTGTTTTGAGCCTTGCTTTGGGAAATCTACTTTGCCCATCAGTTTTTCAGATCAGTTAATCCAAAGTGATGAGTTCATGGCTGAGTTAAGAGGGTAGTTTTTTGAGTATTTGTGTTTAACTGTGCCTTGTTTTTAAAAAAGACTGAGTTTGTCAGAGGAGATAGTGATTAGACGAGTTGGGAAGACAGTGGTATATTGTGAGTGTAGATACAGAATGAGTGGTTAGAGCAATGAATTAAAGTAGAAATACAACATAAAAGGTGATTTAAAATGGAGTAGGAAATATATCACTGTGGGAACAAAGAATTAATAGGACAGCTAGTGGTTAAGGTCAGGATGCTTTTGAGGGCAATGGTATTCAGTGGTTTGTGGAGCCTGTGTGTGTGTATTTTTTATGTGTCTACACATTACAATTCTACTTTGTAGTAGATATGTGCTTTCTCTTTTTGTCTTGTGAAGGTCTTAAAATGCTGGTTGAGGTAGTCATGTATGTCTCTAATCTTATATTCTTAAATTGTCTAGCTGTAATTAAGACCTGAGAAAATTTGGAGTGTTATGATATTTACAGTTTAGACATAGATTAATATAGGTCTCTTACTTCCTCGAATAGATTATGATGTAATGTGCTTATGGGAGAGAGATACCTTCCCAAAATATTTGGGGTTTGTGTGCTGCAACTTTTATCTTTGAAAAAGGGTAATTGTTGATAGCCATTAAGGACCCCACAGCAAAGTAATTAAGTGTGAAAAAGCATTGGTATTTTTATACTAGAGCATTTTTTGTTTACGTTCTGGAGTAATGTTCAGTACCTGTCATGAACAGCATGTTTCAGGAAGATCAAGAAACTTATGTAATAGTATTATACCAACAGTCTATTTACATACATTTTTACTTACTAACTGCTGATTTTTAAAGTTTCTTAATACGTTTTACTAAATTTTATAAACTTACTAGGAAGTCTTTCAGCATTTTTTAAAACCTAAGAATGGGATTTCTGTGAACTAATTATGCATTATAAGCAGGGTAGGTCAGTTCCATTAACTGTGGTCTGTTATGAAACCTGTTTTTTTCTCTCTTGTGTTCCCATTTTTATATATTTTTTTTTTTTTCAAAGTATGTCACAGTGTAACCTTTGGAATACATCAAATAACTCCCTGTTTGCATGGATCTCTCTAACTGCAGCCTACTTACTTCAGTTTTTAACAGATGTTTAAAGAGAAACTGAAAAACCGGCTGTACTATATATTTCATTGCTCATGTCTTTCTAGCAACCTGTTGTGACATTCCTTGATTTTTTTGATTGCAGGTGATCAAATGCTTTGAGGTCAGGATCTGATGTGCACTTCTCTGTTCAGTTTCTGTTTCATTTAAAATGTTTAATTACTTTTAGACATCAAATGTCTTTTGGAATACTTGCTGAATTTTCATGGTTTCATTTATCTCTGCTCGTTACAACTCCTCAATGGTGTTCTTTACAGAAGATTTTTTTTTTAATGCCATATAACTGCTTAAGTTTCCATGTATTTTTATTTCTCCTAGCTAAATGTAATTTAAATATGTATCTTTACATATAGTTTTTTCTTGGTTTTATTCAAATGCTACAACACATCAGTGCTGCTGTATTCGCAGTATGAGAGCACTACTTAGAGATATGATGCCTTGAGACCTTGGTTTCCCAAAACCTTGCTGTAAATTCCTTACCATTTTTATTTAATTCTTTATTTACTCAAGATGAGACTAGATACTTCAGCAGTCATAGAACTTTATTTAAAAAAGCGTGTTACTGGATATCCTGTGGGGGCAGTGTAGTTTAGCCTTTAAAACCACTTATAGCAATAGAATATGCAGTAATACGTAATAGTGGAGAAATGTAACTGTCCATATATCTACTATCCTCATTAGCCACTGTTACAGAGTGCATCAGCAGATGAAGCCTTTTGTGCACAGCTGGATCTTCTCATCTGTTTTTTGATCAGATTTACAGAGTTATGGGTACCACTCTTGCATTCCCTTCCACCTCTGAAACATTCTCACTTTAGTAGAGTGAAAGTTGTGCAAGTAGGATTCTCTGGCTTCCAGGGATGACTTAAACCCAGCTGTGATGTAAGTTTGAGTGTACTGTGAGGGCACAAATAATTCTAAAGGAGTTTTCTGCTTGTCGCCTGTGGTGGTGGGAATGCCTGAAATATTTGGCTATTTTTAGGGAATATGTGTTTCTCAGACCTTTTGTTAGAGATACATGATAGAAACTTAGCTGTCTTGTGCTAAGGATCTCTGTGTAGCTTTACTATCACATTTGTTTTCTTTATGAAGAAAGCCAGAAGCCAATAAGGGCATCAGCATTTAAAACTCAATCAAGAAATAGGATAGGAATGATATGAGCTGTTTTGTTAAAGTGTTAATGACTCATGAGCTGGCTTTCTACAAAGTGTTGCAGAGATTATTATAGCCTTGCATTTGTTAACCATATAGAGAGGTTCTATTCATCCCCATTATCAAGCTTCTGAACTGTCTTAACTCTCCCCTCCCCCCCCAAAAAAGTTACAGGTTCTGTTCATCTTGAAAATAGTAAAATAGTTATCTGTGATGTTTGCAAGTATTGTTTCAGACATTGAAATGCTGCGTAGCTGAGAATGATTTCACAAAGCCAAGCAGCTTAGTGGCTCTATATCGCCAAGTAGGAAAAAAAGAATTTTGATAAGCCTATGGACAAGTACACTTCCTGCATTTGGGAAAGAATAAGACAGATAATTTCAGCTGCTTAAAATGTATTTTAAGATCTCTTGCTTCTGTTTCTTTTTTGAACAAAGTTGTGTTAGCTGTTTACAGATGTAATTTGCTGTCACTTGCCATATGCTCCCTGATTAATTCTGCAAGGCCTGTCAGCTTCAGATAATTTAATTTTCTGTTCTTTAAAATGACATTCATTATCAGGACATGAAAAATTCAAATTATTAACTGCAAATTATGACTAATAAAGTGTCTTTTTTTTTGTTTGTTTCCAGAGAAAAACAGAAAGCTGAAGTCAAGGCCAGAAAGGTTTTAGAGATTTTGCAAGCCAAAGACAGCAAAATAGAAACCCTAGAACAGGTTGGTATTATGCTTAAATAGAGCAGTTCAGAAAAATTCTGTCATTGGCATCACATTTATATTTCCTAAGATGTAAAAATAGTTTGCTGTTATGTCTTAAGGTGAAAGTTGGAGGTGATTCAGAGAAGATAACCTTCTGAGAAAGTATTAAACTATTCTGAGTTGTTCATGCTGTTGACCTTTCACCTAAAAAGTTCCTGTGTTTTTAGAGGAAACTGCTGATGAAAAGTTTTATTAATTCATTGCCTTATTTTGCCTAATAGACAAACCTAAACTTGGATTTCAATCTAGATGAATTCTGACTATGCTTAGATTTGTAACGTGTTCATGATTTGGAAAGGTTTGCCATCCTGACTCATACAAAAATAAAACATTTGCTATAGTAACGAGAACTAAACATGTAGAATGCTAAAAGCAATACACCTAAAATACATTTATGTATTTTGGTGTTACTCACTTGTACCAATATTTATTAAGTTAACTATTAGAGTAAACTGTAAAATAATGCTGGCAAATCCAGAATGTCATAAATAAGTCTTATGTGTATTCTCAATTGAGCTGTTAACTCAAAACGGGTGCTGTGTGTGAGTAAAAACAAACAAAAAAACAACCCAAGCTGTTGGGTCAAGCCATTGGTGAAATTGAGGAACTATGAGCACATACCCTAAAAAATAAAAATAATTATTTCAAAAGTAATCAAAGCTCTTGAACCCCTCTTAATATTTGAAATACAGTACTTAGGAAATTCAAAACAAATGAAAGAAACAGAAGAGAACAATAAATATTGCACCTTCCTTTTCTCCATAAATCTCAAATGGGGTTGTTCTTCCCCAGGTGCAGGACTTTTCATTTTCCATAGTTGAATTCCATGAGGTTCCTTTCAGCCCATTTTTCGAGCCTGTCATCATGACCCTCTGTCCACTTCTCCCAGTTATGTGTCATCAGCAAACTTGCTGAAGGTGGGCTCTGCCCCATAATGCAGATCATTAGCGAATTTCTCACATTTCTGATGGCCTTTACTAAGTCTTGCCTGAATTGAGGTAAGTTGTGTAGCCAGTGGTGTAAATTGAGGTTTCCAGAGCTTACCTAATTCTGTTCAAAATAAACCTGATACACCTGCTGCCTGACAAGAAACACGTCTGAAAGGAGGCTATTCATCTTTTTATTTTGTATTAGATCAGTGGCTGGAGTTTCTGTGCGCTGTCATCTCCTTATAGCTGTAGATGTGATTTGTAATGTGTCTGAGGCATGGATCCACATCATTTTTATAGAATCATAAAATCAACTAGGTTGGAAAAGACCTTTAAGATCGTCAAGTCCAACAATTACCCAAGGACTGGCAAGACCACCACTAAATCGTGTCACTAAGGGCCTCATCTACACGATTTTTGAACACTTTCAGGGATAGTGATTCCACCACTTCCCTGGGAAGCCTGTTCCCAGGGAACAGTGATCACCCTCTAAGTGGAGTAATTTTTCCTAGTATCCAGTCTAAACTACCCATGGCACCGCTTGGGGCTGTTATCTCTTGCTCTATCACTTGTTACTTGGGAGACCAGCCACCTCATCGCTCCATCCTCCTTTCAGGTAGCTGTGGAGAGTGAAAATAAAACCAACAAATATGACCAGCAATTCATGATTATTCCTACATTTTGATCTGATCCTTAGCTGAAAGAGAAGATTCCTGTGTAAGAAGTTTCTAAGAATTCATGTGCGATAATGCGCTTTCAAGAGGTGGCACCTGTTGTGGCAGCTTCTAAACCTGTAGCATACATTTCCATGAGATTGCTGTCTGGTTTCAGGTAAATTTCAGAAGCTGAAATTGATCAGAAATCTGAAGTTGATAGTGTGATGGAGTGATCATCTGGAAGTGGAGAAAGGCTGAAATTATAACTAGAAACAAGGAAAAACGCCAGCTGAGGAAGGAGAGTTTGGCAACTGGATGGGAAGAGTTAACAGATGAGGAGGACAGAAGCTGCTTTTTTTGGTGATCATCACAACTTTAATGCATGTTGTAATGCAGCCCTTTCAGATAGCTTCCCTTAGAGCATCACTGACTGAGAGGAGGTTGTGAAGGGCACCAGATAGTGCCAATGGCCAGTGCTACATATAAAAGCTGTATATGAGGGTGGTGTCATTCTCATATTCTTGCCTCATCCACTCATCAGGATGCCACAGTATCGAAATGAAGAGGATAAATTTTGGAGGTTTTTGAATGGTTTTGGTGGTTTGGTAAACAAAGACTGGAGCTAGCACAGACAACAATGTACTAAGGAGTAGTCTTGTTTATATTTCTGGATTGTTCTTTCTTTGTTCATCTAAAGGGTAGCTAACATGCAGATAGGTTGCTTCTAAAACTGTGAGTTTTGGCAGTGATGTAAATGAAAGTTCTTTACTGTACAGTATAGACAGAAGCAGGACTTTAGAGTTGTGTATTGCAGTCTACCAATCTGTTACATTTAGGAAGGTGAGATTTATCCAATTATCTCTTCTGTTGATTTTCCCTTCCCCTTCCCACCTGGTATAGTTGCAAAAAATACCATTTGTCATAGGGTATTTATTTATTTGGAATTTCTAAGTGGCCATGACTTGATTGTATGACTCCATGATGAGTAAGGGGAAAAGGGCAAATAAATGACATATCTCATAATTTGAGATGTATGTGAGTTAATGTTGCAGCCAGAAACAACAGAACCCTAGAACAAGAAACTGCGATAATCTTCCATCTCTTTTATTCTGCTTAGACTTTGTCCTGATGTGCTTAACAGCCCTTTTAAAATTCATCTAGTAAGAAACCGTGTTCATCAACCCTAGGTGAGATGCATGTAGATATTTGTTACTGAGACCTGAATTAGTTTTATTGGAGTTTTCCATTGTATTTTTCCCTTTATTGCATGTTTTTTTAAATTGTTGCCTTTGTAGTTGGTTGGTAACTTTTGGTCTCGATAGTCGCAGCTGTTCTTCATCTGGCATATATCTATTTATTCTACGTGCTGTGTGGTAAAAATCTTACTCCTTTGAGGCTGGTAGCTAGATTGGTATACTGATCATATTACTGCCATTTTTGTTTTACACAGTGGCTCAAAACTTTCCTCAGTAGTTAGCGCAGTAGTTATGTGTCCTAATTTCTATGTGTGTTTTGAGGAAAAGAATTTCTAACTGCTGCCTTTAAGTAAATAACTTACTGTCCTACATTTTTTATTATTTTTCTTCTGAAGGCTGACTGCTGCAGATCTTTTTCTTCATTCTCCTTTTTCTTTGGAAACATTTTATACCTGGTATATTTAATTTATAATATTTGTCTATGTCTCAAATAGATCACTGGGTTTTGTTGGTTTTTGTTTGTTGTTTTTTTTAATAAGGTGAGGGTTTTGGAAAAATACATAAAAAAATTAGAACTTAAACAGTTAATTTAGAGGATAATGTGGGAACAGAGAACTCAGTCTTCTGCCATTCATGCAATAGATAAATTAAAATATCCTCACCTGTGTTCCTTAGAAGATGAAATTAAAGATGTGTAAAAGTGGCAATAAACCTTTTCTGTGACACTGTTAATTAATTAGATTTCAATTTTGATCTGGAAGAACTAAAGCTAATCCTTTTGTCCTAGACCTTGTAATGTTTCAAAACCTTGTCAACTGATTATACTCCAGAGGGGTTAAAATAGTACTAGCTTGCCTCATTATCTGCACTTGAAAATCTCCAGCTTGCTGTGCAAATCTATATTAAAGCCCCTTTAATGGGTCCAATTGAAAGAAGCATAATTCTACCTTCAAGCATTAATTAACGCTAATAAATTTTTGTTAACTTTTGTACGTTCACCTGGTTGTATTTTTCTTTGTAATAAAATCTTGTTATTAAAGTAAGACAAATGTATGCAGACATTCTTGCCATCCAAACACTTTCTATCCAGTAGCATATAACCTTGATTCTTCTTGTGTAACAAGGGACATGAGGATAATTTTGCTAATAGGGAGTTTAGATGAATGTGTCAGTGGTGATGAGATTATGCAAAGTTTATAAACTCTGCAGAAAAAGTTTCTCCACTGAATGAAATTTATAGATGCTGCAAGCAAAGAATATGTGAGGACACTGGCACTTCTGTTGTCTTTAAAAAGATGATTTTACACAAGTGGTAAAATCACTTGGAAAAGTGATCACCCCTCAGCGATGAAACCTGTCTGGTTTATGTAGCTCTGCATTAATGAATTATTATGTCTTTGTGCCTTTCTGCTCACCACCTTCTAGTTAGTTTTCCCATAAAAATAAGGGAAAGAAATCTTGTTAAGCAGCTCATCTAAGTAAGAAGGATGGGGAGGAGAATATATTTAATATTAAAATAGTTGAAAGTTGCTGATTCTTGTTTATTGACAGAACGCTACCTGAAGTAGGTGGTATGATGACTATGGCTAATACCTGTGGGCTTGTTTGCCTGAAGAAATTAATAAGCTTTAAATTACAGTGTATCTTTACAGCTCATTAGTACTTTTGTGCAAATTCCCGGTAGGAATGCTTTCTGTACAAGTTGAAAATTGTTTCTGTGAGCTAGCTTACTTTTTTTTTTTTTTTTGAAGGAGTTTTCCTACTTAATCTGCAAAAAAAGCAACTACATTGTTTTTTTTTCTGCAGGTATTCTGTAAATCCATGCCTTAACTTTTCATTAATTTGTCTGTGTAGCCATGCCTAAGGTTAGCTAATGTTTCTGGATCCTTATTGCTCATAATTCGTGTTCTTCATGGTGTGTCTACAAAGATAGCATGAAATGATAGCTGCACTTTGATAAGACAGAAAAAAAATGTAGTTAGTAAATAAATGGGCTGTTTCTTGTCCTCTGCCTGTTTGTCCAATTCTTATGTTAGTGGAGCTCAGAATTCAAGCCTGGAAAGAAGAGGGGCGTCATGTTTATGATCTTATTCATGCTCTAGGGGGCTACAGTCTAGTTTGGAAAACTTCTTGTTCAGTCCAGGTAAGAACAGTTGTCATGTAGTCAATTAGAGTTA